ACTGGCTGAGTTTTAACAAAGTTTGTTCACGGATTGTCTAGATTCATGTAAAGTCAAAATGGGGACTCATAGAACTAGGCACTGAAAAGACACACATGAAGTCATGTACTGGAAGGTATTTGCCTTTTGATGACATTAGCAACTGGTATTCATAGAACTTGAAGTTTGTACCCAGAGATCACTGAAATAGTGTAATTTCAAAATGAGAAGTAATACATTTAAGAAAAAATGAAAAAGGGTGCAACCGTATGTCAAATTTAATGGCATTTTCTATGAGGAGGATATTTATATATAGGAAGGTAGACTGAGATTACCATGTAAATGTTCCACAGACCACCAAATAGCCTAGTTACAACTAAGATAGTAGTAACAATCACCTAGTAACAACTAAGATAATCAATTTGTGTAAAATCCCTTAAGTGAATTTGGCCTTTGTTACTGCCATCTGATACCTGGCAGAAGAGTTACATTTGCAACAGAAGAATTGCTCTATTCATATATGTTTGGGTCAGAAGGGACCTTAGCAGACCACCGAGTCTGACCCCCCTGCCCTAGGCAGAAAAGAGCACTGGGGTCAGATGACTCCAGCCAGATCCATGTCTAGCCTCCTCTTAAAGACCCCAAGGTAGGGGAGAGTACCACCTCCCTTGGAAGCCCATTCCAGATTCTGGCAACCCTTACCATAAAGAAGTTCTTCCTGATGTCCAACTTAAATCTGCTCTCTGTCAGTTTGTGGCCATTGTTCCTAGTTACTCCAAGTCATGCCCTGGTAAACAGAGCATCTCCTATTCTTTGCTGCCCTACCTTGATGCATTTGTAGGTGGCTACAAGATCACTTATCAACCTTCACTTATGGAGGCTGTAGAGATTCAGGGCCCTCAATCTCTCCTCATAGGACTTTGCCTGTAGGCCCCTAACCATATAAGTGGCCCTCCATTGAACCCTCTCAAAGTTATCCACATCCGTCTTGAAGTGTGGTGCCCAAAACTGAATGCAGTATTCTAACTGCAGCCAGACCAATGCTGCATAGAGGGGAAGTATCACTCCCCTGGACCTGTTTGTCACGCACCTGTTAATGCAGTGGTTTTCCACAGTCAAGAAATGAATGAAAGCTAAGAGCTGGGATTTTCGAAAGGGATCCTTGTATTTTGCGAAGGGTGCCTTGAGTCTAACAGAGGGTATCTTAGTATAGAAAGGTGCCGTTCTAATTAAGTGCCTCATTGTCATATGTATTAAGGCCCTCCACATTTAAAACTGGCCGTAGGACGCTTTACCTAAACCTCATTTGACGAGGTTTAGATAAAGTACCCCCACGGGCATTTCAAAACACATGGGAGATTATACACGCGAGGTGAGGCCATGCTGGAGTGTTCTAATTAGAACATGGAGCAGACTTGATTAATCAAGTGCCCCAACACATTCTAATTAGAACATTAATGTGCTCCAACACACTCTAATTAGAACATGAACCAGCACATGTATAGGCAACTGATGTGCTTTTCTATTTGTGACACAGCCTTTCACCCTAGTATGTGCCAAAATAAAACCTAATATTTATCTAAAGCTTAACATCATCAAGCCATTAAGTGATGCTTACAATTTCTGTCACTAAGAGATGTAGTATCCTCATTTTCTAGACAGATAAAGCACAAAGCGGTTAGGCACCTTAGACACCTGAGTGACTGGCACATTTAAAAGAATGAGACAGATAAAGAATGAACAGAAGAGATGTGCTTAAGGGGTGCATCTACACAAGACACTTAATGCACATTAGCCTAATAACACTGTGCAGTAGTGTGTCATGGCAAAAACCATGCTAATAGCCTACTGTGCAGTGTTATTAGGCTAATGTGTAGTAAGCATCACTAAATAACCATGTGCCAGAGCCACTACACAGTAACTTTAGGTACTGCACATTTAGCTAGTAATTTATTAAGGAAGTACTAAACTAACTGTGCAATATCTAAGGTGCATTAATGAATGTGTAGGCATGTCCAAGCTTATACAAAGAATCAACAATACAGACAGTTTCAAAAGCCGGGTCTTCTGGCTTTTGTTCATAAACCTATACACTATATCTTGCATTATACAAATGGACTATACAAGCTGCTTTTCTGTTTTTTTTCAAAGGAATAAAAAGATTCATACACAGCTTCTAGCAGGTGCTGTTTCCTTCTTGAATACCTCCCTGACTCCTAAAGCCACATATAATTAATATCATAATCTAAAACTGTGGGACAGCAGGGCATCTTTACTCTTCTTACGGCAGTGCTGGATTCAGTCTCTCCAGAGAAGTTTTAAAAGAGTAGCCATGTTGTTCATATTCATATAAGCTATAAGTCCAGCCTTTTTGGCTAGAGAGTCAAGACGGATTCCACCTTGCATCTTGACATAATAAAACTGTTGGATTTTAGTCAGACAGAAGAGAAAGTTATTTCCTACATTGTTTTCCCCATCCACCCCCTGCCCTTTGTTTACAAAGGGAAAAAAGAATGGCTGTCCCCAGAGCTATCATTTGTTTACTGCTTTGTCATGCTGCTCGCCCTAGCCCCACAATTTACTGGATGATCCTGCCAAAGAAGACAAAACCTATTTTGTCAGAAGGGTGTTGACAAGGCAGCAACAATGGATAGAAGGATAATGTCCCTGTATGTGAGGCACACCAGGACAAATTTTGAGAGCCTTCCTTGTAAGACTAGAATTAGATACATTCTGAAACCAGCCTGCTGCATGTGTAGAGCAAAATGAAACAAACAATGGTTTGCCTAACTTGCTGTCATTCTGGCCTCACACTGATTATGTGGCTGTATCATTAAAAAGAACTCCACCTAATGACTACTACAACGGTTCCTCACCTGTGCAAGCTGAAGTAACAAAGTCAAAAGAGGAGTGAGGCAACTGACAGCTAGTCTCCATCCTTGCTTTTACATTTTCTGCACTGAAGCAATGGGATTGATGGAGTGTGTGTCAGCAGCAACCTCCCCTGGAATATTTTCGTCATAAATATGCCCACAGCATAAGAACAGTGTGGCCATTATCTAAGCCAACCCCTATGCCTATGCCTATCTAAGTCTTCCCCTATGCTCAGGCTGCACAAACATCTGGAAAGCCATGTTTAAAAGTCCTCTCAGACCTGCCCTGGCCTAAAAGGAATCTCCAGGGCTAGAGACAGAAGTTACATATAGACCAGTATAAGTGATTGGAAACCAGTTCAAATCTGTAACACAACAGAAGTTTAGTGCACATGCATTGTTTTCAAAATGGCCCAAACCAGTAGAGATAAACCTGGATGGATGGACTGAATTGATTCAACCTTTTTGACCGTCTGTACTTAACCTAGGTGTCACAGAGCTGGCACAGGGCATAGCCAGAGTTTAGCCTGAGCAGGAGAGGAGGGAGGAATCAGAGAGTTTATAACTTCACACTGCTGATTCCTGGATGACTCTTACTGAGCCTCAGGCTGGTGATGTGTGATTTCAGAGCAGGCATAAATCTTGAAGAACAGCTAGGCTCAGTCAGGGAATGTAGAGGTAATCTCACCTCTAGTATGGATGGCTGAATTCCTGAATTCAACTTGCTTTAGATTATTGTCCTAAGATTTATTCTCCAGTGATTACCAACCATCCCCATGCTGCTAGCAAATTAGACATTATTGTTATTGCTCTGATCTTATGCAGCATGCTAGTTGCTATGGTTAAACTGCCTGTTCACCTAAATAAATAGATTAGCTTTCTCCAACAAGGAAAAGGAATAACTGACTAAGGATTCCTGAAGGATTTGCAAGTCACACATCAGTAAACAAAATCTAAGTGTGAATCAACCTTTTAGCCACCACTGTAGGACTTCATACCAGAGAAAGAGAAAACAGCATCTGAGGCTGCATACACAAAAAACATTTAGGGCCCCTTTCCATTGCGGAGACATCATCTGATAAAATCAGAAATTACAGACAGGGAAGAGATCTGTTAGGCACAGTCCTATGGATTGTTGTCTATAATAATCACTCAAATGCCCTTTCCAGCCAGCAAAGTAATGCTGGCTTCCCCCGATTTTCTTGGGAGACTGTTCCACAGCTTATTAAGGTCTCATTGATAGGATTTTTGTATTATCAATAAAAGAATGACCATTGAAAATATGAAAGTGTTTGAATGAAAATCACTATTAGAAGTAGCTTGAATACAAGGGGAAAATCAGTAGAGTCATACAGAGGACAAACTATTGACTGGCTCGAGGCAGAATGTCTAGGTTACCCTGTACTAAGAGTGGTACAGCAAGTTAAACTCAGAACATGCTTCCTTTCAGACGTTTGTGTCTTGGCCATTTAATGTTTTTAAAAATATGTCTAAATACATATATCTATAAACACAGCATCCACATTCACCGACTGTTTTCTTGAAGGCCAGATGAAAAATACATGGGGAAAAATGACTAAATGTAATTTTTTAAAATTTGTCAAGACTTTCACAAATGCACTAATCAAACAATGTAAAGGCCTTCATATCATTATCTACAAAGAGCTTATGGATCACCTACCTCACTCAATATGAGCTATGAGTCTCTTCCACTTTTTTACAGTGATGCAAATACACACAAGTAACTTCATGCAGGTGTCAATCACAGACTCCATCACATAAAATTCCACAAAAACAGATTGGCTTTGCAGGTCAGCCAGCCTAGGCTCCACTGGACCAAGAAAAGGAAGCAATTCCTAATGTCTACAACCTTTTCTGACTCTATCAGTACTCACCCTTTTAAACCAGGGTACAGCTGAAATATCTGGATATTTCTGCTGTTTGCCTTTACCATGCTCTCAATTATTATAGCAATGTACGCAAAGAAATGTATATTTCAAGACAGTGTTTGAATCTTGGATTTGAATTTCCATGCTTCCGTGATTTTCCTGGATTATAAAATCTGCTGCCACTCAGCCTTTAGAGAAGTAAAATTGACAGTGCAAAATACTGGGCTAACACTGAGAATAATACATTCTTCTAACATACCTGAGTTTGGCCATTAGGTACCACCTTGTAGGTATTCTGGAGTTGTCCACTTATTGATTTACCTGATTTAACAAGAAAAAGAAATAAACACACTCAATTACTACTGGCATTGGTCAGAACAAAGCAAAACAGTAATTTATAGGAAACCAACAACTTAAGCTTCTTTCAGAATGATTTTTTGGAGGTTGTGAAGGTAACAATTGTTTACAGATTATTCTTTGTTCCAACCTACTAGAGGCTGTATTTCCATGTCTTCAATAGTGCTTCAAAATAGTGCACAGTCTCCCTATGCTTGAGGAAGGTTGTTTGTGCCTGAAAGCTTGCAAAGAACTTTTTCCTGTCTATTTAGTTGGTGTAATAAAAGATATCACATCTACCCAAGGAACCTTGCTCGCCTATCTCCTTAGACCAACATAGCTACAACCAACAACCCTTCAGTAGTGCTTAACATTCATTTAGAACAACTCTTGTCCCCCTAGTGTTAATGGAGAAAACAAAGCGGGTTCTTGGGGTTTTAGTTCATGGGATGAATGAGTTTTAGAGACTATTATTTATTGGTTTAAGGTTTACACAGCAATGGTGCTGTAAATAGAGGAGGAATAGTCCATTTTATTAGACTCTTTCTAAGGCCAGGTACAGACACTACACTTTTACTGGTATACATGATTGGAAACTGGTCTATACCCTCCACCAAAGGGCGAATGTGTGGTCTGTTTTCTACGATGTAATCTATGCCACTTAAAGAAAAACAGGCAACTTAGATCAATTCCCCCTTGGGCTTTTTGAATGTCTGCACATAGCCTAAGGGTCTGATTCTCTAATCAAACTAGTGCACATGTCTTTACTCCTGTGTATAGTCTCTCTTAAAGCAGATGGGCTCTCGTGTGGGCATCAAGGTACAAATAATAGCAATATATGTATTGAGGACTGGGCCTCTCCAAAAATGAACAATAGAAAAATATTTTGTTTATAAGAATAAATATAAATTGGACCAGTTCTTGAGTGAAGCTGAGCAGCTATAACTCAAAATCATTGTGAGGAACAGGCCCATTATGGACTAAGGGTTGGATCCTGCAGCAGTGAATGTCAATGGAAGTTTCACAGGTGACTTCAACAGAGACTGAAACAGGTAATAACAACTTCACTTACATTCTTCAGCGAGGAAAGAATGCTTGCAGCAACACATGTAGTGCTTGCTTTTTTCACTGAGGTTTACTGCAATATTTTTCTGTGTATACATGCATCCTGAGAGACTTCATAGCAGTTTATATAGACAGTTACATGAAGAGGCAGATCTAGGATTTGGCAAAGGGGTTGTAGGAACAGCAATGCATGCTGCTGCTGGAGTGACTGCACCTCAACGCCCAGCCTTTACCGACCTTCCACCCCGTACCCAACGGGTCTGGGTAGACCACATTGTGGGAGCCTTCAGGGACTTTTTAAAGGTCCCAAATCGGCTAAGAATTACCCCGTCTTCCCCTCTCTGCTCTGAGACTCCCCCACCTCCCATCTTCCCC